CAACTTACCTGCTTATGAGGGTGTTATGTCCATCCCCGACCCTCCCTTCCTGTCCTCTTGCCTTCCCCCCCCCTCACCCTCTCCCCCCTTTTGGTGCTCATCTGGGTTGTTGGGCTTTCGGGTTATTGGGCTTTTGGGTTGTTCGGTTGTCGGGTTTTCGGGTTGAGTTGTCGGATTGTCGGGTTGTAGGGTTGTAGGGTTGTCGGGTGGTTGGGCTGTCGGGCTGTCTGGTTTTCGGGCTGTTGGGTTTTCGGGTTGTTGAGCTGTCGGGCTGTCGGGTTTTTGGTTGTTTGGTTGTCGAGCTGTTGGGTTTTCGGGTTGTTAAGCTGTCGGGTTGTCGGGTTTTCGGGTTGTTTGTCGCTGTCGGGTTTTCGGTTGTTTGGTTGTCGGCTGTCGGGTTTTCGGTTGTTTGGTTGTTGACCTGTCGGTTTTCGGTTGTTGAGCTGTCGGGTTGTCGGGCTTCGGGCTTTTGCGTTTGTCGGGCTGTCGGGCTGTCGAGTTGTCTCTTCTTTCCTTGTCTTGGTTGGATAATGTGTCTTTGTCGATTGTGTTTTGTTGTGATCATTTCGTTTTTTCTTTCTTTCTTTTTTTTGTTAGTATCTCGTTTTCTGTTGTAGTTTCCATGTTGTTTGTGTGTTTGTCTGTCTTTGTTTGTCTCGAAGTCTGTTTATCATATTTATTTATCTGTCTGTTGATTTATTTATATGATTACCTTCATCTTTTTAGCTGTCTTTATAATTTTAAGTCTGTAGTATCTGTGATGTCTATCTCTCTGTCTATCTGTTTGTCAGTCTATGTATAAATCTATCCATTTGTACAACTATCTATTTTTCTGCCTTTCTATCTACTAATATATTTGTTCTTTCTTTATTTATCATTTTATTCATGTACTTATAACGTATGTATGTTCATTATTCCTTCTCATGCCTTCCCTTTATATCCCACTTTTTTATCATCCTCTTTCCGCCCTCTGCACTCCCTCCCTTGCCCCCTCCACCCTCCCTTCTCCCTCCCTTCCCTTCTCCTCCACTCCCCCTTCTCCTCCTGTCCCCCTTCCTCCCTCCGTCCCCCCCTTCCCCTCCTCCCACCGTCCCCTTCTCCCCCCCACCTCCCTCCGCCCCTTCATCCCCCACCTCCCTCCTCCTGTCCCCCTTCCTCCCTCCCTCCCCTCCCACACCATCCTCCCCCTTTTCCCCCACCTCCCTTCCTCCCCTCCCCCCTCCTTCTCCCTCCCCTCACCCTCCTTCTCGCCCCCCCCCTCCACCTCCCTTCCTCCCTCGCATAATCTCTCGCTCATACAATCGCAGGAAATGTGACAATACGAACCCTGCATCAATGGGTGTTCATGACGTCATCGGATTCATTCACTCACTGTTTTTTTTTTCGCTCTCTTCTCTCTTCTGTTTCTTTCTATATCTTTCTCTCGTTTTCTCTCTCTAGCTCTCTTCCGTCATCTCGCTCTCTCTCTCTCTCTCTCTCGATCTATCATTCTCTCTCCTCACTCTCTCTCTCTCTCTCTCTCCCCTCTCTCTCTCTCTCTCTCTCTCGATCTATCATCTCCCTCTCTCTCTCTCTTCTCTCTCTCTCTCTCTCCTCTCTCTCTCTCTCTCTCTTCTCTCTCATCTCTCTCTTCTCTCTCTCTTCTCTCTCTTCTCTCTGTCTGTCTGTCAGGAGATGAGGAAGAGAAATTGAAACTGAAACAGTTTATTTAGCCATAAATAGTAATACAGATCATGTGGGTACATTTAGTGTTATATAAAACGTGGCTCAGCCTTTTGGAGAGCGAATCTCTCTTGAAAAGGGAGGAGGAAGAGCGGGGTGGAGGTGGAAAAGGAAAGAGGGAGGTTGAAAGTGGAGGTTTAGGAGGAGGTGGAGTTGGGGGGAAGAGGAGGAGGAGGAGGAGGGCGGGAGGAGGTGAAGGTGGAAGTGAGAGATATGGAGGGAGGTGGAGTTTGGGGGGAGGAGAAGGAGAAGGCGGAGGAAGAGAGGTAGAGGAGGAGGAGGGGGGAATGGAGAAGGAGGTTGAGGATGGAGGAGGAGGGGGAGGGAGGAGGAGGCTTACCAGGACGACCCGGGGAGATTAAGTGCGAGGATTATTGGTATTGTTTTTTGGTTCGTAACGAAGATGAGAACGAGAGATAAGGAAGGGAATTTGCCGAGGAGTAATACTTAAATATTTTGTTTTTCTCTTCGCATGTCTGTTTTTTTTTTTTTTTTTTTTTTTTTTTTAACGTTCTTGCCCATTTCTCTCTCTCTCTCTCTCTCTCTCTCTCTCTCTCTCTCTCTCTCTCTCTCTCTCTCTCTCTCTCTCTCTCTCTCTCTCTCTCTCTCTCTCTGTCTCTCTCTCTCTCTCTCTCTTCCTCTCCCTCCCTCCCTCCCTTCCTATCTTCCTCTCCCCTCTCTCGCTTTCTCCCCTCCTTCCCTCCCCCCTCCTCTCTCCCCTCCCTCCTTTTTTCTCTCTCTCTCACCCCTCCCTCCCTTTTCTCACTCTCTCCCATCCCTCCCGTTTTTTTTTTCTCTCTCTCTCTCCTCCCTCCCTTTTCTCTCTCTCTCTCTCCCATCCCTCCCCTTTTTTCTCTCTCTCCCCTCCCTCCCTTTTTTTCTCTCTCCCCTCCCTCCCTTTTTTTCTCTCTCTCATCCCTCCCTTTATACTCTCTCTCTCTCTCTCCCATCCCTCCTTTTCCTCTCTCTCTCTTTCCCTATTTCCTCTCTCCCTTCCCACTATTTCTCTTTCACATCTTTTTCAAGTTCCTGCCTTTATTTGCCTATGTGTGTTCTTGTCTTCTTCGCCACACAGTCTTCTCTCTCTGTTGACCTTCTCATGTTTTGCCTCGCTAAGAAAAGACCTGGATGGAAAGACCGCTGGAAATGCAGACTAAGAACTTACTCGGTTTTAATGAAGTTTACACAAACGTATTTTTTTTTTTTTTTTTTTTTTTAATCCCGGGTTTGTAGCATTTGCTCGGTCGGGATTTTTGTTTGTTTGTCATGCTGGGAAGTGTTTTTTTGTTTTTTTTTTTGTATATATTTTTTTATGTTTTTTTTTTTGTGGTGTTTATCTTTACCGTCGCCCACCCCCCTATTTTTATTTATTTTTTATTTTTACTTTTTTGGAGGATTGTGGTGGTGGTGATGAGGTTGGTGATGACGGGGGTGGTGGTGATTTGGGTGATGAGGAGGAGGTTGGTGTTAAAGATGGTGATAGTGAAGTTGGTGATGATGGTGATGAAGATGAAGCTGGAGATCACGGTGGTGGAGGCGTTTTTGATAATGAGGATGTTCAAGATGGTGATGATGACGTCGGTGATGGTGGTGGTGACGATGATGATCGTGATGACGGTGGTGGTGGCGATTTGGATAATGAAGAGGAGGGTGTTAATGATGGTGATGAAGATGAAGTTGGTGATGATGGTGGTGGTGGTGTTTTTGATAATGAGGATGTTAAAGATGGTGATGATTAACTTGGTCATTGTGGGTGATGTGAAGTTGGTGATGTGGTGTGATGATTTGGATAATGAGGTTTACGTTATTGATGGTGATGATGAGTTGTGATGACGATTGTGGTGGGGTTTTTGATGAGGATGTTAAGATGTGATGATGAAGTTGGTAATAGTGGTGGTGATGATGACGGTGGTGGTGATGATTTGGATAATGAGGTTGATGTTAGTGATGGTGATGATAAAGTTGGTTATGACGAGGGTGATGGTGTTTTTGATTTTAAAAAAAGGTAGGCGTTAATGGTGGTGATGATGATGATGATGATGATGTCGAGGAAGATGATTTTGCTGATAAGATTAGTGGTAATGATAGCAAGATTGATAGTTGTGGTTGGCGATAGTGAAAGTGATCGTAGCAACAAGAAAAGTATTGTGTGTCTCTTCTCATTAAAACAGCTGTCGTTTTTTGTTTTTTTTTTAATATTATGGTTCTAGGATAATTTTTTATAATTTTTTAGTTTTTGAATATTAATTATCCTAAAACCAGGCAATTTAATATGTTTAAAGGTATTATTGATGATGATGTGGATCTCAGTGTTTATGGTGACTGCTATGGTGATGATCAGATCCAGGATCATGACTGGAAATAGATATTAAGCAATATCACTTATACTATTCTTGTCATTATCTGTAATCGTAATGATAGCAACAAGAAGAGTATTATATGTGTCTCTTCTAATTAAAAAACAAGGACATGTAGACAGCTTTCGTTTGATTTTTGAATATTAATTATCTTATAACCAGGTAATATCTTAGAACAAGCTAAACAATCCAACAAGCAGTGATTCATAACTAACTGGTTATATATCGAGAATCTTTACTTTTGTTAATTATTTTGTTATCTTGTCTAACATTTTTTGTATCTTGTATGGTGATAAACTGATTTTTTTTTCTTAACTAAAATCTTAACTTGTCTGAAACGTAGAATTTCTAATAGCAAAATAACGGAAAGATCATCCAAAATATATAATTTATTTTAGAATTATGAGGAAGAGAAGGAGGAGAGGGAGGAGATGGAGAAGGAGGAGGAGGACAGGGAGAATAAGAATGAGGAGGAGGAGGTGGATGGGGAGAAGAAAGAGGAGGAGAGAGAGGGGAAGAGAAGAAAGAAGGAGGAGAAGGGGAGGATGGGAGAAGAAGGAGGAGGAGAGAGAGGGGAGGAGGAAAAAAGAAGAAGAAGAAGGAGGAGGAGGAGGATTGGGAAGAAGAAGGAGGAGGAGAGAGAGGGAGGAGGAAAAAAGAAGAAGAAGAGAAGAGGAGATTGGGGAAGAAAAAAGAGAGAGAGTCGAGGAGAAGAAAATGAAGAAAAAAAGGAAAGAAGAACAAGAAGAGAAAAAACACACCAAAAGATGTTATCATCATCAACACAACCCAAAGGTAACTTAAGAAAAACAGACGATAATCAATACTCGATCACAGGAATCATAGGAGACAATCGGCAGGTATCCCCGCAGGTATAATAATTTAATTCACCTGCAATCCTAATCGAGGTTAATTGGCCTC